GATGATGTCCAAATCCAGTATACCCCTCGAACACACAACCGTTTCCCTGATGCCTTGGCTACACTGGGGGCAAAGGTAGATATACCAGATGATAGTATAGCCATCGTCATCGAGAAAAGAACAACACCAGCAGTGTTAGCCGAAGAACATACAGAGCATGAAGCTGAGGGATGGAAAGCAGATATAATCCAACAGAACAGTTGAAAACAGGCCAGGGAACAATCAGACTAGCAGAACTTGCATAATTTCTGCTCCTCAGAGGAGAGTTGTATTTTTGCGGTGCCAATAACTTGCTGGCAAGGTGCGTCGGTAGACAAGAAGCAACTTACAGACTTAAGCAGATCCATGCTAAGTTTTGTGGAGATGGAGATAACAGTCTATACCGGCGGATACAGAGGCAAGGGTATTACTGGCCAGAGATGGAAAAGGAAAGTACTGAGTTGCAGAGGCAATGTGCAAAATGTCAATCCCATCCTAAGGAAGAGGAAGCCCATTTCTTAAGCAGTGATTCAGTGAAGAATGGAGGCAGCCATATGTCGACTACCTTGGAAATGGCACACTGCCTGAGAACAAAGCCGATGCAATCAGAGTTAAGAGGCGGGCCCTCCGCTTCTTCCTTGACCAAAGGATGAGGCAAATGAGGTGCTGAGGGAAGCCCACAAGACAAAACATCAAGGAGGGCAGCGATTATATGGACATCTCATTCACCTCGGCTACTACTGGCCGACAATGGAAGAAGATGCTAAAAACTTTGTAAGGAGATGCCAATCCTGCCAGAAGTTTGGGAACTTGATACATGCACCGGCGGTTGAGCTGCACAACATCAAGACCCCTTAGCTGTTCCATACTTTGGCATTTGACCGCGCAGCAATCGAAAGGCCACAGATTGCAGCGACTGAAGTTAGTACCAAGTGGGTGGAGGCTATACCGATGAGGAAGGCAGACGGGGCAGGAGTAGCCAACTTCATCAGAGAAAGCATAATCTGTAGGTTTGGCATACCAAAAGTAATGTTGTCCGACAATGGAACTCCCTTTGTAAATCGTCATGTGGGAAGACTGCTGAACGCCTACCAGATCAAGCAGCACAAGTCTAGTCCATACTACCCCCAAGGGAATGGACAAGCTGAGGCGACCAACAAAACCATCATCCGAATATTGAGTAAAATGATGGATGAAGCAGGGGGCACATGGTTTGAATGACTCCCCATAGCACTCTGAGCATATAGAAGAGAAAGCCAACTCAGGCAACCCCATTTTCCCTAGTGTACTGGTCCGAAGCTGTGTTACCAGTTGAGTTGGCAGTACCCTCAGCAAGAATGGCTATGTCAGCACACTTAGTTCCAGACAGCAGAAAGAATGACATAGAGGCTGCTGAAGAAAGAAGAGATTGGGCCTCGCGGGCAATGGAAAAGTATCATCAATCCGTAGCTCGTGCCTACAATCAATTTGTTCAGCACAAGAAGTTCAATAAAGGGGACTTGGTATGGAAGACAGTGGACGCAATCATGTGGGGGCAACCAATTCCCAAGTTCTCACCAAGATGGGAAGGCCCCTACAAAGTTGCTGAGGCAAGCAGCAGCGGGTACTACAAGTTGACAAGAGTAGATGATGGGTTCAAAACTGGCCCTATCATCGCCACGTTGTTTGCATGCTCGAGGAAACCATCAGCTGCTTGAAGCCTATCCCTCATCCACGATAGGTCCAAACTGTTCCTCTCAAAGCCACTCAGGTTTGCCTCAGCACTTTCCACGAACTTGCTAGGGGTTGTCAGAATCTTCTTAGTAGCAAGGTCGCGAATGAAGCTGCCGAGTGACTCCAGCAGTGCTGTCTGCACCATAGATCTAGGAGTGTTAAAAGCAAAAAAGGTGCTGGGGTGCAGCGCCTGGATGCGGGGCGAGAGTTGGAGCAGCTACGGAGAAGACCCAGTAACTTAGAAAAGAAATTTTCTCTGAGGGCTGAGGGGACTCCTTCACACCCCCGCCAGCTTCAATCACTGGAGGGAGACTGGTGGAGCGACCAAAGGTCTGAAGACGACACACTTCCCCTGAAGATGATTGCCCAACAGCATTGGAATGGGTAGATGCAGCGTTGGCGACCGGGTGAACTAGCCTCGTGAGAAAGACTAAAGCTGCCTGCACTGTCATGTCGCTCCGAAAAGAGGTCATCCATCTGGTAGTCTCCAACGTTCAGATCTGGAACAGCAGTGGTATCCATTCCAGTATAAAAATCTCGGGATACCCCAAGGTCAGCTGGCACTTCTGGAAAGTGAGTGGGGTACAAGTCTGCCAGCTGTTCAGAGGTTGTCGAAGCAACTGGGTCAGAGGTCCCAGCGACAGCAATAACAGTGTGGGTGGCTAAAGTGACAGCTACCTCTGCAAGTTGGTCCAAATTTAGAGGGGCCACAGCAGGAACAGTGGAAGCAGCCACTACACTTGCACTCTCCTTAGCCACTTGGGCGTTCGGAAGTGGGGTTTGCTGAACCAATGGAGACTCAGTGGACTGGGAGGAACCACCAGATGCAGCTCCAAAGGGAGGTGGTGCAACTTCCAGCGGCTCTCTCATGCCGCTATCTTCCCTTGGGGTCTCAGGGAAAAAATCCTCTCCGTAGACAGAGAAACGGTCGGAGTGCACAAAATCAGCGAGGTTTGGAGTCTCTGCACCCTCAGCAACTAGGCCGCCCGCAACAACTTCCACAGCAGGGGGGACTTCATTTTCTGCAGCCTCCACAACTGGCTCAGCCTCAGTAGTTGGTGTGGCCTCAGCACTTGGTTCTTCTTCAACATCTGGAAGTACTGCCCTGCGGGTCCTGAACCTTGTGACCCTTGTAGCAATGGGAAGGTCGTCATCGTTGTCGTTGTCGTTGTCGTTGTCTGAATCTGAGGAAATTCCGATGGCAGTAGAAGAACCTCTGGGGCCGGTGGTATGGCCGGTGGGCCCTTAAAAGAAAAAAGGTTATGTGATTACCAAAGTAAATGTAAGAAGTCCAAGGAATGTGATTTTCGGTTGTATGGAGACGACACCTTGACCTTGATCAAAGAATTCAAAAAGATGAAACCGCCGAAGTTCCATGGAGGTATAGCGCCGATGAAAGCAGAAGCATGGGTTCTTGAGATGGAGAAGTTGTTTGAGGTTTTTCCCAGCACCAACGCCCAGAAGGTGTCATTGGCAGCATTCACATTGGAAGACAACGCTCGTAGGTGGTGGATGATGATCCGAGAAGGTCATCTAGACTTAACTTGGGCCAGATTTTTGGAGTTGTTTTATGACAAACACTTTCCCCTCAGTGTCCGAGATCGCAAGACCACAGAATTCCAGATGTTGTCACAGGGTAGCAAAACAGTGGCTGAATATGATCGTGCTTTCACCGAGTTGGCAAGGCATGCACCTCACATGGTCAACGATGAATATAGGAAGGCTAGAAAGTTTGAAAGTGGGCTTCGTGGATCAATTCAAGACCGGGTTAATTTGCTTAACATGCCGATGTATGCTGGAGTGTTAGATAAAGCCATCCTTGCTGAAGCCAACTTGAACAGAAGTCAAAGTTTGGGGGAGAATCAGAAAAAGAGGCAGACCTATGACAATCGCCAAGACCAGCATGATGCCAAGAAGAAGGTGGACAGTTCCAACAATACGAACCAGGAAGGTGGCACTAGGCCGACATGTACAAGTTGCGGGAGGCGACATTTTGGAGTTTGTCATCGGGCATCTGGAGCATGTTTTGAATGCAGTGAGATGGGTCATCGTATTAAGGATTGTCCCAAGGTAAAGGCTAGAGATGATAAGAAGAGATGAGAATCCGACATTCGAAATTGTTTTGGGGACAAGGTAAGTAAGTTTGGGGACCAAACTTCTTTAAGGGGGGAAGGATGTAATAACCCACATTCATGTCTTAGTCATGTTCATGTGCATTTTCATGATTTTGTCTTATTAAGCTTGCATTTGTAGACTTAGACTTGTTTTGCCTAGGTAAAGGTTCTTGTCTTGTCTTGATGCTATCATGTTTTCCCTAAGTGTTGTATGCATGCTTTGTTCCTTCCTTGCTGTGTTAAGCCTAGGTCATGTCAAGCCTACGTCATGCCAAGCCTACGTCATGTTAAGCCTAGGTCATGCCAAGCCTAGGTCATGTTAAGCCTAGGTCATGCCAAGCCTAGGTCATGTCAAGCCTAAGTCATGCCAAGCCTAAGTCATGTCAAGCCTAGGTCACACCTTTGAACCTCTTACCCCTTGGACCATCTTGGAACCACTTTGGTTGACCTCCACCATTACCTAGGCATGTTGGCCGAGATGTCATCATCTAGGCCGCGATGTGCATCATCTAGGCCGAGATGTTATCATCTAGGCGCCCTAGATCCTTGATCCTTGCACCTAGTGATCTTGTTCCGGGACTGGAATGACCTAGACCGAGGTGTGGCACATCTAGGCCGAGGTGTGGCACAGCTTGGCCAAGTGTTATCCTTCCTAGCCGAGATCATTGAGACCTTACTTTCCGAAGCCTATGTCCTTAGCCGAGATCATTACCTGCCGGAGTGCCCATGTCATCTAGGTCATGTCAAGCCTAGCCGAGATCATTACACTTTGTCATACACTTGTCTTGTCTTTCTATCACCTTTTGAGGAGAACCAATCCGGTAATGCCACGTATCCCTGCATAGGGTTAAATCAGCCGGCAGAGAGAGAAAAACATATCATTTGCTATATCCTTGTCTTAGAAGAGAGAGAAGCTCTAGGAAGAGGAAGAGGAATTCTAGAGAGAGGTAGATTTCCAAGCTTGATCCCTAGAGATCGAACCGTTAAATCTGTGTTTTAAGGTTAGATTCGTGATCTACTCTTGTTATTCTTTATGTTGATCTAATCGCATTGCATGATCTAGCATGTTTCATGAACCATGCATTGCTTTGAAGTTCGGAAATTTTGACAACTAAACACATGTTTAATTTCAAAAAGGAGGATCTAAAAGAATGCTTTCGGAGATACTGTGGACTCAATCTGCAGTGAAGGGCATTACTGACTTTCATACATATATTTTTTTTTTGTTTTCTTTTTTGATGCACATTTGAAAAATCGTTTCTAAGTGTGTTTCCAGCATTGATGTCTCTTGGGTCATTTGTTCAGCTATTTCCATCTCTCGTTGACTTACCAAGTAAGTTTGTTTTTTTGGATTCCCTAGTAGTTACATTCTGCTCCTTTTTCATGTCTTTCTTTTGTGGCTTTTGTCTCTTGCCTCATTTCACCAATGAGCAAAAGCCTAAGGATACAAAAAAATTTACCAAAAAATCTACCACTCACATGGGTGTTGTGGGACCAACACCCATGTGAGTGTTTGCTAGAACATTTGGGGTCTAGCATTATTGTTCACAAATTGAAGTTCTACTTACTCTATTAACAGCTGCACCTTGTTATTTTCCTTCTATTGATTTATTGATCTAGCCAAGTAGGCCATTTCGAAATGCCTCAATTAAAAGAGTTCAGAAATTCAAAATCTATATGCTTGGTACTAGTTGGGAAATTGAATTTTTTTATTTTGAATATAGTTGATATTTGTTGGCTTTCCTTTTCTCGGCTTCTCTAGCACGTAGGCATTGTTCGCCTTGGTATGCTTTTTCGGGGGTAAGTTTTTATTGCCATAAAAGGGGATTTACAATGAAGCTCAAGACATGCCAAAGGCAATACCCCTCTAGAAGAGAGCTTACGCCTAGCCTGCAGAACAATTAAACTTCAGTAGTTGGCGTTTTAGGATAGAAATTTGTGTGCTTTGCAAATCCTTAGAGCCTGGTGTGAAGAGAAAATTGAGAAATTAATTGGCATGAGTAGTATTTTATTTTTGAGTTATTACTTATGTCTACAAATTGGGTTTCTTACTTAACCAACAAAAAAAAAAAAATAAAGAATAGGGTTAAGTTAGTAGTTTATTGGTAGTAGTTGCTACATAATTGATGTCTGTTGGGCTATATATAATAAATCCATGTGTTTTTTGGGAGATAAATGTAGGCTTTTTTTTATTCAATGGCAACTGAGTAGCGAGTAGTAACACAAGTGATGAAGACTAAAGAATGCCTCAACTGAGCACTGAGTCAACAACCACGTAATCTCAGTTATCTCTCAAGAATTCCTTCACTTACATTGCTTCCATTGCTTGGAAATGGAGACTAAATTGGGCGCAAGTTTTTTTTGGTTTTTATGTTTTTCATTTATCCATTTCCATGTTGTGCTGCAGAGCGTGATTCTTTGGAAGATGACATGGGCATGGAGATAGAAGGTAATGGGCATGCCTGCATATCTTCAACCTGATCTGGAAGCAGATCTCGTCTTGCCTTCGACACCAGCTGGCAGAGTCAATTACCAGGTAATTTCTAATCTCAGTTATCACTCAAGAATAATTTCACTTACATTGCTACAATTCCTTGGAAATGGATATCGTATTTCATGAATAAAAGATCAAAATTATTTTGTTGACACGACTTCTACATGTTCCAACTAGTATGGTGTTAGAATTGTATGATGCACGATTCGATTCATACAATTTAATGAGTTTCAACCAAAATTATTTGAATTGTGTTGTAAGAATAGGGTTAAGTTAGTAGTTTATTGGTAGTAGTTGCTACATAATTGATGTCTGTTGGGCTATATATAATAAATCCATGTGTTTTTTGGAGATAAATGTAGGCCTTTTTTTATTCAATGGCAACTGAGTAGTGACTAGTAACACAAGTAATCTCAGTCAACAACAAGGTAATCTCAGTTGTCTCTTAAGAATTCCTTCACTTACATTGCTTCCATTGCTTGGAAATGGAGACTAAATTGGGCGCAAGTTTTTTTTGGTTTTTAGGTTTTTCATTTATCCATTTCCATGTTGTGCTGCAGAGCGTGATTCTTTGGAGGATGACATGGGCATGGAGATAGAAGGTAATGGGCATGCTTGCATATCTTCAACCTGATCTGGATGCAGATCTCGTCTTGCCTTCGACACCAGTTGGCAGAGTCAATTACCAGGTAATTTCTAATCTCAGTTATCACTCAGAATAATTTCACTTACATTGCTACAATTCCTTGGAAATGGATATCGTTTTTCATGAGTAAAAGATCAAAATTATTTTGTTGACACGACTTCTACATGTTCCAACTAGTATGGTGTTAGAATTGTATGATGCACGATTCGATTCATATAATTTAATGAGTTTCAACCAAAATTATTTGAATTGTGTTGTTTGAAAATTGGGTGTGTTGTTGAATTGAGAATTGAGTAGTTCGTCTATGTTTTTGTTTACATAATGTATTGAAATGACGCCTTTTCTGTTACTCTATGATGAAACAAAAATAGGGCAATTGGTTATACTGATATACGTGGTGTTATATATAATTTATTTATATTGATACTATGTAGTATTTGACTTTGATTGCTACAGTGTTCCCACATATGTGTGAGGTTTGGAAATTCCTTTCTAATAATTTGGGTTGTATTTCATGATAAGCATGCTGTGGATCTTGTATGAGAAGGAAATAAGAAATGGAAAAAAGAGTGGGAAAAAAAAACTTTGTTAATAGTTTCATGTGGAGAAACATGAAAAGAGCGAACTGCTAGTACATATGTTATCTTATGCAATTTTATCTTTTCTTTTGTGGAAGTTTTGTTGGAATTTTGTATTTCATTTGCTGTGACGTGTTATAGAAACTAAAAACACCCTTTTCGTAGTTTTTAGATAATTAGAGATCAATGATTCCAACTTCTTTACTCCATTCAAAAAGTTGTTCAAGATAATTGATCAAAATCATTCTGATGACCCGGTTTGTGTATGTTATTCAAAATAATGTTACTTTTACGAGTAGTTAGTTTTTCGTTTGTATTTTTTTTTCCTTTGTGTTTTTGGCGCTGACCCCTTGCAGCCAATGGCACATATAGACATGGTTAATCATTTAAGGTAATCTCCTTAACTTTTTGATTTTATTTTTTACATTAAGGACAATGCATCGTTAGTTTTTTTGAGAGTAAAGAGTGGCAGCCAAATTTGACGAAAGTAATTTTGGTTTAGGTAAAGAAACAAGATTGATTGGGAAGGGGCCCATCCATGGAGGAGAAAGCAATAGAGGCTTTGAAGAAGTTGAATGGGAATATGGCCCTACGATTATGTCTCTTTGTTGTTGGCCCTTTTTGGTATGGCGTGAATCTTATTGTTGAATCGATGGTCTAGGCATTTGATAGGTGGACAGGGTGGTTGGTTGTGAAGAGGAGAGGACTAGAGGAGTGGTGTGGAAAGCAACATGCTAAAAGTCACCAATTTCCCAAAAGCTTAAAGCTGTTAGGAAATGAGCCTAACAATGTATATTGTGCTATCTAGCACCCTCCTTCACATGCAACTCCATCTTGCACGTGGAGAGACAAAGAACCAAACATAAGGAGATTCAAACAACCAAACAGAGAACACGAAACCAAATGGGGTCTGAATACCAAATGCCAATAGAGAGATTTGAACCTAAGACCTCTCTCAACCTTAACTCTAATACCATGCTTTTGGGAAAATTGGTGACTTAACACAACAGACCTTCTTAAGTCCTGATTATTGTGTTCATCACCAACTGGAAGATGCATACTCAATTTGCACTCACTTTACAGATTATTAATAATGTTACTTATAAAAAATATATATACTTATCACTCTTTGGCCATAAGCATGCTGAATGCGATTGTAAATGTTACTCCTTGAAAATAGAATTTTTTATTTTTTTTTTTTGTTGTGTGTGTTGTGAAATAATGATTGAGGTTTTTAGAGTTTTTTTAAATAAAAAACTTCTATGGGTGTTTTTCATATATATCTATGCTGTTTTGTTGGCTACTGGTGGTAAAAGGCTTGGATGTTAGAAGATAAATATAATTGACCTTTCTACTGCTACTAGGTGGTATTCTTAGGTTAGTATGAAAGAAACCTGAGGTATGGGTTCTATTGACAAAGTGGGAGGGAGGTTTCTTATACATGGAGGAGGCTTCTATGTTAAGTTGTTGACTACAGGATTTTTGTCGGTCCTCCTGGATTCCTGTATCCGTTTAGGATCTGGCTTGTATCTTTACATTGTGTGTATTTTGATTCTATCTACTCTCAATGTGTACTCATGCAATTCTTAAATCATTGATTAATAACTTATTTTACTTGTTAGAACAATAGACCAGAGATTCTAATTCATAATTTGCAACACTATCATGGACAGGATAAAACTGCGTTTCTGTTTCTTTTTTTCCCATCACTGCTACTTGTGTTAAGGTCGTGGTTATGGGGTGGATTGCCTGTTCAGCTTTACCAGGTACTTTTGTATGGGAAAAATTTTTGTAACTCATATAGATATTTTAAGGAAATTTTAACTTTTTGATTTGTTTACTATACTTTTGTTTTTTGGTTTCTAAGCGTAATGAGCATATTATTTTCAGGCATGGTTGTTAATTCTCTACACAGGTTTGGCTTTGCGAGAGAACATACTTAGAGTGAATGGAAGTGATATTCGCCCATGGTAATTTGATATGATTTTATATGCATTTGGTTGAATTTTGTGCTAAGATTGCCTTGCCTTTATTCTTCATCATTTAAACTATTTGTGTATTTGTGATTGAGATTTTTTTAAAACATATTTTCATAGTCAAACATTAGTAATTTCATCTCCCATGCCTTTCAGGAGGGAAAGTGAATATGCAATTTTACTGGCAATGAATTAGAAAATGAACAGAGGGTAGAGTATATGAGAAAAATAATGGTTGTCAATAATGAAAGGAGGACATTATTCTAGATGGAGCTGCATGTTGCAAAAGAATTCATTGAGTTGACTCCAAATAGACATGTTTAATTTTGTTAAATTGAGTTTTTCTGGCAGTATCTTGTTCCCTTATATGCAGCAGCAGCAACTACATTCTAATTCCAGCGAATTACTGGACTCGTATCATGCTTTTTGTTCAACTGGCAGGCTCATTTTCTTTATTTTCCGAATTGTGTCAGAACTTGGATGAAAATGTGAAAATGCAGTGGATTTTTTTTTGTGATTCTTATCTGCCTCCTAGATTAATATGCATACAACCACAGAATATGTTAATGCTTGCCTTGTGCTGATGTAGGTGGATAAAACATCACTACTTCGCTATGGCCATGGCACTTATCAGTCTCACTTGGGAGATAGAAAGAGAACCTGATTGTTCCCAGAAGCAAGTTATTATCCTTCTTAAGTGCATATTGAAATTTTGTTTTTGTTTTTGTTTTTGTTTTTATTTTTTTTTTTAACGAGTGAGACTGTACATGTACTGTGCAGAGAGGGGTGCAACTGTTCCTTCAATGGGCTATCATGCAAGGAGTTGCAATGCTTCTACAAAATAGATATCAACGGCAAAGGCTTTGTACACATATTGCACTCGGCAAGGTGTAATTGAAAAGAAAAAAAAAAAAAAACTCCTTTCACCAATGAATTTCTGTGCATGCTTCATTTTTGCCTTTATTATCTTCAGTTCTTTCTGCAGTCTACTTTGCGCGTGTGTCTGCACTTGGTTGTGTGCTCTTTGTGAAACCTTGTCGTCCTGCATGGTTTGCAGAACTTCAATGAGTTCTTTTGCTTCTGCTGGTTGCAATAACCATGTTTTTGTCTTCTAGCCAATCTGTGTTAGTTTTTTATGGCCCACCGAAATACAAATAGAACTTTTTTTTGGTGGGCATATAATGTTTATTGCAATTGTTCTCCTCTGTAGGTCTGGGATGACTCTTACCATTTGATCCTGTTGTTAATTGCAGGCTAGGAGAATGGACGTTGTTTGGGGAGAAACTGCTGGAGTTGACGGTCAACTATGGTTGTTGGCACCCATTCTATTCATATTACAGGTGATTTAAGCTGTACAAATGCCTGTTTTGGGGACCATGCCCACAAAAGATCATATTAATGTATGCTTTGCCATCCAAGTCATGTTGAATCAAACAAACACTAAAGCGATTTAAATTAAGGTTGTTAAATATTCATTTTTTTTCCTACATAACTTGCCAAAAGTTATGTACATATATAAATAATTAAATATATATAACAGCTAGGGAAGGGAAGTTTTTGTTACTATCAAACATCATCACATTCCTTGAGTGTTTTCTTTCATTACTTGCTGAAGTTGAAGTCATATTGTCATTTTCTTCTAGTTTGCCATCCAACAATCCTAGTTTTATACATGTAATGCAACTTTCTCTTTCATCACAGCTCTCTCTTTTTGTTTTAAACTTCTTTGGCTCACATGTCATGATGTCACCATGAAGTTATTTGATTTTTTTTTTTCGTTTTTTTTTTCGAAGATATCAGGAAGAGGCATGCTCACCAAAAAAAGGAAAGAATCTGTACATCATTGCATGATGATCATTAATTGCCCAATCCTTCAGTGAAAAAAATAATGAAAGAAGATACAGTACTTCAAAAGAAATTTGTTTGGGATAAACTAATAAGTGCACTTTTTGACTTTTTATGAAATATGGGTTGGGTATGGATTGGGTTTGAAGTGATATAGTAGAGAGGTGATGTGACTTAAATAAGATGATGTGACTTAAATAGGATAGTGATTTTTTGACTTTTTAGCTTTTGTTGGTAATGCCAAACCAAGCCTTACTTATAGCATGCCTACAGTATTTGTGATGGACTTTTTATCTTCTCCAGACCTTTCATTTGCTTAATAGTTCTACTACATATTTTCTACTATAGGTCTCGCAAATTAATTGTTCACTTTCATTTGTTAGTTGCTACTAATCCAATAGATGAAGCAACAATATGTCACCATAGAGATCTGAGCTAAATTGAAGTGACCTTTATTTGTATGTTCTTGATTTCAGGGTTTTGAAGCATATGTCAGAATTTTGCTACTTAAAGTTGCACTGGCTGGTGTTGTTTCTGAGTGGCAAGTAAGAAGTATGTTTTGAGTATTGTTATGTGGATGCTTGGAGAAGTATTGCCATGGGTTTTATGTTTGTGATTTACTTTGCTTTTAAGATTAAATTCTTAATTCTGTTTCAATATTTGCTTGAGTAATTTAACATCTTAGTTGGACTCATACTCTAGGTTGTTAAAATCGGGATCCTAGGTAGGATCGTAAGGTGAAAAATAAAAAAATCAACGATCTTACTTATGATCCTACCTATGATCTTATACGATTCTACACGATCCCATATGATCCTACTTGCGATCCTATTATAGCACCCATCATACAATGATATGGATCTTTTTAGCAATATAGGATCGTATCCTACGATCCGGATCGTGATTTTAATAACCATTCTCATACTGGTATAAAACTTAATGGATTATCTAATTTACTTTTGGTCAGGTTGTTACTTGTGGGGTGCTACTGATTGTTATGGCAGTTGGGAATTTTGCAAACACAGTGCAGACACTAGTGGCAAAATCTCGGTTTAAAGCGAAAATGAAGAAAACTAAATGTAAGGTAGAACTAAATTAGGGATCCCATCCCATTCCTTATAATTTGTGACCGGGAAGACTGTTGTGCTAGTTGAGTTCGAGGATATGAGAATTTCTTTCGCAACCCGTTATTCCTTGTATCAACCTTCTCACCTTTATACGCTTAGACTAGTGATGATGTTTGTGAGAGTGACCTTTAATTGCATCAAATAGAGCTATAATTTGGTTGTTACAGTTGTGCCAATAGTCTATTATACCTATTATTTTGTGTAATTTGTCTTTTTGTGAATTAAGTAGACACATTATACCGTTACCCTTCCAGTGCTTTTTTGTGTCTTCTGTCATTTTGAATCTGGTTGTTTTGTTTTATTTATAGGCTAATTACACGGACTTCCCTGCGATTTCTAAAATGAAATTACACTGTTCTCTCTTAGCAATGGAAATGTCTTATTTATATCAGTATATTTTGGCAACTAGATGCCAAAATTACCTTTTATTTCTTAAATACCGAACACCCAACTGAATCCATCCGGCCTGGCATGTAGCCGTGCCTTAGGGTTATCACGGTGAGTGGAAAGTTTGAGATTCGAGTTGATGGATCAACGACGGTTCCTTAAATTTATAATCTAATTTTACTAACATACTAACATTCTATCTTTGACCCCAAAAAAAAAAAAAAAAACTAAATCTATCCTTGCAACCAAAAAAGCCACATTAATATTAGCATAACAAGCAAACACCCCCTTATCTTCGACTATTTTCTTCCATCTTCCTCCCGTTCCTTCTCCATTGGCAACACCACCACATTTCACAGTGGGAGCAAAACCTTGAGTAGGGAGGAGATGGCGACAACTCTCTCTTATAGTCTCTTTTGAAAATCTCCCTTTCCTTCTCTCCAACAACACACACTAAATCCATCACAACCATTGTAAACTTGGGCTACTACAGCTGGTTTTCTAGTGCACTTGTGTTGTTGGTTGGTTGCTGGTTGGTTGTTGGTTTTCTGTTGGAATGCTTGTTGCTGATAATGGTTTAAATGCGAGCAAACTAATTTTTATAAAATATATATATAAATAAAATTGTATAAAATTGTATATATTTTAAATGCGAACAAACTAATTTTTATAAAATAAAATTGTATTAAAAAGTCATCCAATATAACGTTCCAACATACATAAAAATATATAACAATGTTTCACTTATTACAAATACCTTAATAATTAAAATATTATGTACTCTAATATTACGCATTGAAGCATGAGGAAATGGCCAAAAAACTATCTTCCAAACGGAGACCTATTATTTATTGGCGTGGCTTATAGACCTAGGGATATGGTATCTCAGGAACTTTGTTGCAAAGCCCCTACTCTTCTCTTGTCCTCAACCCTCGAAAGAAAAGATCAAACTCGTCGAATCGAGGATCTAGATGGGAAATGAACATGTAATAAAAGGCCTTTACTTCAGGTTTCCATAGAAATATGTGAAACTCTAAAATAGGCGCGGCACACAAAGGGGGTAAGATTGAGTGCGCTACCATTCCTTTCAAATGGAGGAATGAAGTAGCAAAGAATACCAATAGTTGTTATAATACCAAACCAAGAAAAAGAATACTAATAGCCATAGCCAAAGAAGAAGTAAGATAATATGGGAGGCGGATAAGCCTATATTCGATTCCGGGAGACCCGCTTCTTCTTGAACTCCTCGACTTCCTCGTCCTAGCCCTCGTAGTGTCATTCTCTGAGATGCTTAGCGCACTCTACGCCTGCTTTCCCTTTCTTCTTGTTTATTACATCTTCTTTCGTCAAATGAATTGCTATGAATCGAACAATCTATGATCGGGCGCTTTTCCTCTACTATTAGATCGCGGATTATATGAAGTCCTGGGCAAAGGGATACTCCCTTAGTGACCATACAGAACCTACATTCTAGCAATGCAGGGAAGGGGGCAGAGCTGGCAGAGGAGATCCTAAGGGACCAACCTTTATATAGGATTCCATCTTGTCTTAACAGAACACTTTGAACCAAAGCTCACTTCATTCAGTCTAAACCATATACATCCTACTCGGACGCTACTACGTCTTCTATTTAGAAAGAAAGCTATAGAAGGAGCTTTCTACCCGAATCCTTTCTTTGCTTTCTTCAAAAAGTACCTCAAACAGAAGGGACTTCTTACTCCCTAACGGACTAACAAAGAAAGAAAGGTTGGACAGGAAAGGACGAAGAGGAAGAGGAAATGAAACGAAGATGAAGAAAGATAGAACAACAATTGAAATAGATAGCCCTGCCTTGAAAATAGCAGTTTTGCTGTTTTATTGAGAGGTGGAAGTTGCGGAAGATAGTATAGATGCCAGAGAGATTTAGTAGGAAAGTGGAAGACCGGTCTTGGGACTTTAGACCGGAGGAGAAGAATAGGTAGGTATAAGCTGTCTAGCGACCAGCAACCCTCTTGCAGCTTATCTGCTTTCGTAACCACTCATTTCCGGTTCTCTCAAACAGATCGGGGGCACACCTTAGTCATTCAACAGGAATTCCCTGTTCCTAGGGGAAGAAAGACTAAGCCTAATACCTTTACCTTCCCTCCAAAGGTATAGCTCTGCTTTCAGACTCCTTTTATGCTTCGCTTTTATACAATTATGAACTCTAGTTGATCTATTCAATTCTAACTTCTAACCTAGATGGAAATGGGACCTGATCCCTCCGTAGCTTAGGACATACGTTTATGCTGCTAACTCTCAGTTTAAGCTTAGGACATACCCAGGCTAATATGACTTAGGACATAGCCATGCTAATATGATCAGTCGTAGAACCAGCTAACCATAGACCACCGACGAATGTCACTATCATAAACCCTATCGCTATTGCCCCTCCTAGGGCTCTTTGTTCAGTTGTGGTAGTCTGACCTTCTTCTTCGTCTGCTAGTGCACTATTCCCATGCTCCTGCAAAGCTGTAGAGATTTGCTATTCTTTCCTTTACTGCTGGGTGAATCTCTGGACAACCGCTATTAGAGGCCGTTTCTTTTATGATATCCACCTGATGAGGGTCTAGAATGAGAGCGGGATCCAAGTCAAGTAGCTGAGGTACGGGTATGACTAATAAAAAGAAGAAGGCTAGTAGTATAGATCCCGCGATTACGATATATGAAAGGAGTACGGATTGCGTGCTAGCAGGGTCGTTCCCCCGAACCCAAGGCTCGTCGATTAAGGAACGAACGGTTCGATGCCTAATCGCTTCCTGAATTTCATGGAATCTATCGACCTCATATGGGCCCAGTCGGTGACAAATCCTCAAAAAGGCTGAAGAAGGGTCTAAGTCACGAGAGGGGCAAGGCAATGTGAAAGGCCTTTCGTCATCCTCCAACAGATACCTTTCTATTAATGTTTTCATGCTATGTACACCGCCTATTCCACAGGCCTTCTTCAACCACATCGGAAAGAGATCAGGATATAAAACCTGTATAAGGGCGAGATCCCTATACAATAGTGCCCTTAAATGTTGCAGCTCCTTCTGCAATATGGTTTTCTGCTCTTTGCTTGGCTTAGTAAACTCTTCGCCGATCCGTGGAATAGAGTGCTGGTACACAACATGCGTATGCCAATTGATCATTTCTTTGACATTCAGTATTGGGTTAATTGACGGACGATGGGAAATAGTGGGATTATGAGAATGGAATCTATCTTTGAAAATATGGAATGGGAACATAGCGGTTATAAAATGGATCTTTCTAACCTTATCAGAGAGGGGCCCCTAGGAGCGGGGCTTATTTATAAAATAGGAGCGCAAAAGCGGGCGAGCCAAAGAGGCTTTCCCGCACCCGAATCCCTTTGTTTACTGCTTTCGAGTCTTGCTTTGAGGCGCACTCGATCAACAATTCATTTCCATGTGAGCCAGTGAAGCACCCATTAAGAGACCGACCAAAGACGCCGCCAGATAACCCATAACTATGGCTGCTAGGTGTGCTGCTCCTTCTGATGAAGTAGTGCTACTCTGATTAAGCACCTCGGCGGGAACATTATTCCGCGGATCCAGCAAATAATTGCACACATCCTCCGCTATTAGTTCCGCTATGACTGGTGGAATCTCATGACAACTCATATAGAAGATAACTCTTTCTTGGAGGACTTCCATAGACGGAGCGTTTAGAAAGAGAGTGGGATAGGCCTCCAAATGAGCAGCTGCAGAGCTTATGGACAAGAAAAAGAAGAGGTAACTCCCATGGTCCATTAGTTCCTGCTAGAGCCAAGGCCAGGACTGAATGCGTGCCACCTTCTCTTTCTTTTTAAAATATCAACTTCTCTTTCTACATCTGCTATTATCCGAGTTTCCTATGCCGGTGTAGGCTTTCGATGTAAAGGTCTGTTAAACCTATGCTAGGCATAGAGGTTATTGACAACTTTCTTTCGGCGGGGATCTATAGTTGATTTAAGAGCTCTAGCTTATAAGGCTTGTTTTGTGTCCAAGGCAAGGGTACTGACTGCAAGGGGAATAGTAAGAAGACTTGTCGGGAACTTGTCGAAAAGAGGGTTCAGCAACAAGCCTGAAAGAGATTATACGTCCATTCTAGTCTAGCCTATCCTCCTAATCTTTAATAAAGTGTGCTATCCTCATCTTCAATAAAGCTTGCTTTCCGCTTCCTTTCTTTCCGACTTCTAATCTCTGGTTTTCCGGAAAGCCCCTCTTATCATTCTTTTTCCAGCAGTGGTAGCTAAGTCTATCTCCTACCTATGTGAGAAGAGTAAGCAAGCTACCTTGGACTGAGCCTCAGGCTAGTTCAGTTTCGGCTCCTAGGTCTATGTGTAGAGAAAGGCGCTCAGTAGTTACGTCAGCTATTGGTTCGCGCAAGTAGTTCCCCTCCGGCTAGTTCATCCCGGTAAGCAACGTCTACTGCACGGGGAGTGGTGAGGGCGAGGGCAAAGGGAAAGTCTAAAGAGAAAACCTAGTCGCTAGGGAAGATAGGCCTCTTGTTCGAACGAATGAGATTCTCGATTTGTCAAGAAGTGAGATTTCCTCGTTCTAGTTCTGACTATTTCTATGTTCAATGAAGTTCTCCCTGTTGGTCGAAGGAATGCCAGGGATTGTTGAGTACTGCCCGCTGCGAGTAGTTCTCCTCAGGCTAGTTAATTCAGGTCTGCTTCAGGCTCTGGTGAGAAGCGAGGTAGCTTGCTTACTCTCTTTCTAGTGCAAGGTGAGTGACCACTAGGCTTAGAGGAGCTAGACTTGCCTTTTCCAACGTCGTAGTCTACTTTACGAAAATGTTCGGAAATGATAACTGACTATAATACTAGGCGCCTACTTCTCCGCTTCAATCAGTTTCTTTCTAGCT